TCGATTTTTTTTGTTTGGCTCCTTAATAGGATACATGCACTTATAAAGTCTTTTTTATTTAACATCATGCACTATATAGCTAACTTCAGAAGTTTATTTGCAACATAACCATAACCTATTAAATTTGCAAAACAGCCATGGCCTAAGATTATAATTTCACCCCAAATGCTCAAGGATTCTGCGTGTGTAAAACAAATTACATGCAATTTTATCTTATGACACTATTTTTACTATGTACATGTTGCTCCATATGATGGACGAGTGCTATTTATATGATGATACGCTCTTTTATACAATCATATTTAGCTCGATTCTTTGGATGTTTCTTTGTTTCTTGTTATTTTTTGCTAGTAGTTTTTGGTCTTTCCGTTTTCTTAGTTTTTTCTGTAACCGCTGTCACAAATCTAAAAATTGGTATAAAATTTAACATTTACCAAACAACCAAAAAAACAAAAAAATTGTTCGTTTTCAAATTCAGTTTTGATTTTTAGTAATCGAGAAGGTAAAGAAGTAATTCGATATTTGAATCTGGGCTTGGGCTTTTTATTTAGTTTGAATAAAATTGGTTTGTTCAGATCAAAAGACCTCCAGTATTTAGTTTGAGGATATAATTTGATAGCAACCCATATTTTTCTTTTTCATTTGGGTTTATGAGTGGGAAAACATTCTTCACATTTGTATCCATGAAAGAACATCTGAAATCAACCACGAATATATTGAGAAATAAGTAAATATAAGGAGCAGAAGGCAGAAGAATCCACAGCTGAACCAGACTTACACAACATAAGAAGTTGTCAGTTAAACCCATGAACACAAAAAGTCATCAGGATGGTTCATAAACCATGTTTTACAAGAAACATAAGTACCCATATTCGAATAATTGTGAGCATAACCTTTACTATGCCCTTGATTTCACTTAGCAACCACGTTTTGAGCTTGATTCTCCTGCAACTGTTGGTAATTAAGAGTCCTTCTAAACAACATTATATGTGGCTCGGGCCTATGAATCGCGTAATGTACCCATCCACGGCTTTGTTGCACTCCTATCGCACGCCACTCGTTCTATCAAAAACCAGCCATAACATTCACATCAAGAGAAATGCACAGAAAGAAATGTCTTATCATCACTAACAATAAGCAACCTTCAAAAAAGTCCCCAAAAACAAATATCTACATTTTATCAAACAAACAAGCTTATGATCTCCATTTGAACATGACAAGACCTCCCAAGAGAACCCACAAAATTGCTTATACAAGAGTTCAAAAATCTCTGAGTTTTCCAAAGAAATGCTTCTATTAAGAGAAAGAACAGTAGGACACTATAACCTTCAAAAACCCAACAAAACATTATTATAGCAAACAAGCTTATGATCACCACTTGAACATGACCCAGACCTCCAAAAGAGAACCCAAAATGTCAAAATTGCATATACAAAGGGTTCAACAAATCCCTTGAGTTATAAGAAAATGCTTCTATTTGAGAGAAAGAACACTCTTTTGTATATGTAACAGTAGCAATTTGGATCAGACCAAAGGTTCTAATCAAAACTATAAAGGGCATGAACAATCAAAACTTCAAATCCTAAGCCGAAAACTATCTCTTTTCGATTCCCTAGAATTCGATGATCCAGATCACAATCAAAGAACAATGCCAAGGAGAAAAAACACTTACTTCGGAAAGAAGACGATTCTTTGGTAGAAGCTTAGCAACTTCTGGAGGAAGAACGACGTGCCTGTACGTACCCAATACACGATCAAGCTCTTCGAAATTCACACTAGAAACTGGAGGAAGAAACGAAATCAAAGAGTTTTACCTGTACTCAAAAGTGTCATCGAAGTATTTGTCGGAGTACTGGATCTGACCCATCTCTTTGATGTGAAACCCTAACGAGAAATCGGAGAAGGGAAAAGAGAAATGAAGAAGAATCAGGAAATCGATCGTTTGGGTATGGAACCCTAAAGAGAGGAATGTGATGGGGGAGAAAGTGAATGGAATAAAGTGATTGGGGCGGAGATGTAATTATGTTGAAATGAAGGGGTGTTTTACCAACGGGTTTTGTTTTTCTTTGATATTTTTGAGTTTGAAATTCTATGGAAGGTTAAAAAGACGAACCGAAGTAATCATCACTACAACTTTAAACCGGAAAAGTTGAATCAAATTGGGAATGAAATTGGGTAATTATTCGGTTGCTTATTACTTAAAACCCGCTGGTATTGGTTTTGGCTAGGTGAAAGATTAAAAAAACGTCTGTCTTGAAAAGAAAAATAATAAAGATATCGGTTTGATTCTTGGTTTGATTCTTAGTTTGATTCTTGGGTTGAAATCAGGAGTTTTATGGCTCAATTTTCGATTTAGAAATTAAACTGAGTAACCATGTACATTTTGTTTTATTTTCTTGTGATTTAAAATTGTGTGGCATACGAACCATGCGTCTTCAATCTTGGTCATTATAAAAATACGAATTTTGTTGAAACTTGTTAAAACCCCATAATGACTCCAAAAATCACTAAGGACATTAAATAACTGACCAAAAAAAGCAAAATTTAAAGAAGGATGAAAGGTGCATGTGATTAGGCCTATTCATTTGCCTCTTTGATTTTGAGTAAGAGCTAAAATATTTGTTCATTGATTTGCGTTTTAGCTGAACATTCACTAAACAGATCACTTTTTTGAACCCTTTATGTACATAGGCAAATTGCCATTACTTTATTCCAATTCAATATTCAAGATTGGTTAGACGATTTTGATTTGATAGAGAAACATGGATGAACACAAAAAACACAATATGAATCGAAATGTGTCAAAAACAATAAGAAGCAGAAGATGCAAGAGAAATAACGACTTAACCATGAGAATATTTTAACGTGAATTCAAACAAAAGTCTAGCAAAGAACCAGACTTTTACACATAACATAAAAAAACAGTAGTTCTAACAACTCACATAATTCCACTGAAGTGAACTCATGAACATAAAAACTAAGGGAATGTAGCAGCAGACTGTTTATAGAACCTTGTTTACGAGAGACATAAACAGAAACTTAGGAGAATTACGCATAATTTTTTTACTTAGCAATCACGTTCTGAGCTTGGTTCTCCTGTTGGTAGTTGAGAGGCCTCCTAAAGAGCATGATGTGTGGCTCAGGACGGTGAATTGCGTAATGGACCCATCCACGGCTTTGCTGCACTCCTATCGCGCGCCACTCGCTCTGCAAAAAACCAAAGAAAAAATTGCTTACTTCACATCGGGTATCGACAAGCTATTGTGAGATAATGTCTAAACCAACTTTCATCACTGACAAATTATACTCCTAAACCAGTTTATGATCTAAGTTTTCAGCAATCTTTGTAAAGAATGATTCAGATCTCTAAAGAGACACACCAGAACCTAGACCAGATTGTTATTAAGCTTTATACTTTTAATTTGATGCAACAAAACGCAAAAATGTCAACTTCTTATGCAAGAGTTATGTGTTCAATAAAATTGCTTACTTCACATAGGGAATCGACAAACTATTGTGAGAGAAATTCTAAACAACTTCATCACTGACAAGTTATACACCTAAAACAGTTTATGATCTCAGTATTTAGCGATCTTGTAAAGAATAATTCAGATCTCTAAAAACATACCAGAACCTAGACATTGTTATTAAGCTTACTTTTAATTTGATGCAACAAAACCCAAAAATGTCAACTTCTTATGCAAGAGTTATGTGTTCAATAAAATCTCTGATTTTTTCCAGATATATGTATGCAATCAAACACAGGCGACGATGAAACTGCGAAGAGCCATTGTTACACAAAGCTAAAAAGGACAATAACAAGAGAAAAATTGCTTCTACTAAGATCACACAGTGTAATCGCATCAAAAGCAAAGATTTCATAGAAACCCAGAAAAAGCATGATGAGCATACTTCAAAATTCTAAGCAAAAAAAATAAACACTATCTCTTCAATTCTCCAAGCTTCAAATTTCCTAAACAACCATACATCTCAACCATGTAAACGAGAAATTGAAAAAAATCAGACAAACACTTCGATGTTCTAACGATTAGATGACAATCAACAATTTCAATAACAATAAACACAAGAGGAAGCAATAATTAAACTTACTTCAGAGAGAATACGATTCTTCGGTAGAAGCTTAGCCACTTCTGGAGGAAGCACGACGTGCCTGTGAGAGAAACGAATAACAAAACGACGCGAATTAGAAATCCGAAAACTCCATTAAAGTGGGAAGAGAATCAAACCGAGGATTTACCTGTACTCAAAAGTATCATCGAAATATTTGTCCGAGTACTGGATCTGACCCATCTCTTGATGTAAAACCCAGAAACGTCTGTTGGATTGCGAAATGTAAAGCAATACGAAACCCTAATAACGAAGAGAAACAGTGAGAATCAGAAATTGAATCGTTTGAAAACCCTAAGCGACGATTCGACGAATGATGAAGAAACGCAAACCTTTGAGAAGAAGTGCGATCGGGAAAAAACGAAAAATGAATTTGGGGGAAAGAGAAGAGGGAAAGTGAAAGGCAATAAAGGCTAATGGCAACGATGTAATTATGTAGATATAAAGGGGTATTTGAGCAACGGTTTTATTTTATTTTTTGCTTCTTTTTGAGTTTGAAAGTCTTAAAGAGGCGCTCCTTCCCGCTCAGTGAAACCTAAATTTTGATTATAGGTTTGATGTAAACCAAACCGGTCCGATGTCCCGGTTTAAGGAATTCCATTCTCCTTTTCAAAATTCGACTTTCCTAACATAGTAACATTGTTTACTTTTATAGAGAAGTATGGAGGGAAATGATTTTACTCGACGATTAAATTGTGGACAATCATGTTCACGGTTTGATATAATTGATTTGAGAAAAAATAACTCTTCTTGTTCGAGTTCCTTTTGCAAGACTATCCGTTTAGACATTTAGACTTGAGGGTTGATTTTGTTTATATTATTAACATTCTATCTTATTTTCGTTGCATTCAAAATTCAAAACTGAGCGTTGGTATGATGTCAAATACGCTGAGGAGAAGATTCCACTTTCAGTAACAAAGACATATATTAAACGCATTTATAATCTTATGTAACTTTAATTAAGTAATTTTAACTTTTATATAACTTTGAGACTCATACGTGTTAGAAATCAAAGGGAGAAGATCATGCATGAGGCTTTTTGCGGCAAATGGTTGCGATCATTCTTCCTTGTGATGAGTCTTACTGATTGTAGTTAGATGCTGTTTGGTCAGCTAATTGTTATCATTGTCGTTCAGGTTGAGTTTTTAAAACCATGTTAGATTCCATGTTATTTCAAAGATCTTCCTCGAATACCTCGGTTTCCTCCATCTTAATGGTGAAACTTCTTTTTTTTTTCTCAACGTTTGTTTCTTAAGAGCGTCGGATATCAATCACTTGATATGTTTCTCGTATTGCTCGGAACTTATTCTTCTTCTCAAATACGGTGGCCATGTTTTGGAGAATTACAGTCTCGTTCCCGATATTAGAGCGGTTTGTAATGCCTTTGTCATCTTCTTTCATCATATATCTTTTTTCTTCGCGGTTTATTTTTCAAAAGTGTCGGGCGGAGTATCAATCACTTGATATGTTTCTCGGATTGCTTGGAACTTATCTTTCTTCTCGAATACGGTGGCCAAACTTTGAAAAATTACAGTCTTCTTTCTCGACATTAGAGCGTCTTGTAATGGTTTTGTCTATATTTTCTTTCATCATATTCTTTTTTTAGCTAATAGTTTTACGGTTAGATTAGTCAAATTAGTTATTTTACGTTGTAATAACTCATTCCTTAGCGAAAGCTAATTCTATTTTTTTTTATTTTTATTTTTTAATTAAAATGGTTGTACACACAAAATTAATTTTTTTTTATAGTTATATGACAAAAATTTAGACGTCTCTATGTATTTATAAATGTAAAGAAATTTTATTATTTTATTTATTTTTATTTATTTATGTAATTTTCTTATTTTAATATTATTTTAGTTTTTAGTATTTATATAAATTTTATACATAATTTATTTATTTTTAATAATATTTTAAACCAATAATAAAATTTGGAAACTTTATTAATTTCATCAATGGAAATTTAATACATAATTTTTATATTTATTTTATTAACAGTATTTTAAAATTTGGAAACTTTTTTAATTTTTAATATTTGATATAAACGAATAAAATTATTTTTTAAATACTATATGAACACTTTTAAAAACATATAACTTCAACTTTTATTATGAATAGATACTGGATTTTAACCCAGTGCATCCGCACGGGATTTTTTTATTTTTATTTCTAATATAAAATTTTTTATAAAATTTTATTTTATTATTTATTTCTTTTTAAATCAAGAATTTTGTAATCATGTTTAACTTTCAATAGTTATAAATTTCTATATTAGTAGAATAAGGATATGAATTAATTAAATATATATTGATCTAATGTTAATTATGAACTTTGTTATTATGTAAATTTAGATTTACACATAAACAATCTACATATCTATGAATTGGCTAACCAGTTCGTTTAATTATTTCAAATTATTTTTTAATATTTAACATGTTTTGACAAACTAATCCGAATAAAACTGTAATTATAAATGCATAACTCTAACTTGCTCAATCATATTATTGTATAATAAATATTTATCAATATTGAATATTTTATAAGATCGATTGATTATGATTAAATATAATAAGATATTCATTTACCATTTGTGTTATTATGAAAATTTTATTTAAATTAAAAATTTTAAATTAAATCTAACCTGTATTTAAAGAATTTTCAAATAACTAAAATTATTATCTAAAATTTCGTAATAAATTTATTTATAATTTTATTTAATTTTAAATTAAATTGAATCTATATTTTCGTAATTAAAATTAATTTAAAAAAATTCAAATAATTTAAAATTTAAATTAAATATAATCTATATTTAAAGAAATCTAACAATATCTAAATTAATACTAATTTTCGAAATTTAATATAATATAAACTAAAATATTTTTAAAAAATTCAGGTATGTTTGGAAACAGACACTAAAAATGCTTATGTTTTAATAGAATAGATTTGGATCAATACACACATTTATGTAAATGTGGTGGTGCAAACGAAAAGGAATTCAGCACCTTTTTTTTTTTGGAATTATAATACAAAAAGTTAGCTTCATCCCTATATAATAAGATAATAAACCCCCCCCCAAAAGAATATGCCCAAAAGACCAGTTAGAGATAGCTTAAGACTCATTTACTCTCACACTTGTCCTCTACTCTTCTACCAAAACCAAAGTCGCTTACCCTTTGTGTGCCTCTCTTTCTTTCTTTCTTTTAAATTGTAAAGAAAAAGACACATTAGAGGAAAAACCTGTACACTAATACGTCTACTACCCAAAATTAGATCAAAGACAAGAATTAAAAGGGCATCAAATCGGATGTCACCGACTTTCAAAAACCAAAAGACAACCTTGAGCTTACTCCTCCATATTGTCCTCCTTAGATCCAATCACGGCTCTCGTTGCAGGCACTGTCTTTCTCAACATAGATGTTCCATGAAAGACCATCACCGAGAAGTCTTTTCTGTATTCATTCACCTATATGAACAGACACACGTGTATCAGAGATGTGATTCAATTGGGAGTTATATAAGATCAGCTTTACTTTTATAGATAGATATACAATATACCTCCTCTTGAGTCATCTTGGTGAAACCAAATTTGTCAGTCCATATGGATTTGGCTTCATCTGCTGCTGGTAGCACGATATGTTTTACGTTTAGGGACCCGAGTAGATTCTCTATGCAAGCAAACAGGCACTGGAAGTAACCCTACAGCCAAAAAAAAAAACAGAACATGAACTCTCCAAGAAAAAATCAAGATCATGTGACAATTACAAATTCACCATTCAGACATTCAACCTATTTGAAACAAACACAGGCGCAAAAATATATGGCTTGGAAGCATGCATCACAGTATAACTTAGCAGTGTATGGAACTGACAGTAAGAGCGGTTCGATTCTTGACCATTGTATAGAGAACAGACAAATCTCTCAAAGAACCCAAAAAAAAAGAAGGTTCAACATCAAAAGCTACTTTACCTGCCCTTGACAGTCTCTGCTGGTAGCAACTAAAGGGAGTTCCGCAAGTTCAGACCCAAAAATCCTAAAGATTCCCACGGAAACAATCACTTCGCTGCACAAGCGAGACCCAAAAATGAAAAACAGATTAACAAGATGAAATAGGAGTCACAAAAAAAAATATAGACTGGAAATAAGAAGAAGAATCTTACTCCACAGTCAACATGGTGCAGTACATGCCACTGAAATCTTGGCCTTTTGCCTTCTTTCTGTATCACACCCAAAGTGGTTCATCAGCTTAGTGGGTATGATGAGCATGCACAATAATGCAATAAAGTGATAGACGTTACAACATTTGCACTTACCCGTACACCATGGCTGGAATGAGATCTCCCCGGGTCCCAGATTCACTGATAGGATCAAACCGTTCCTATAGCATACCATGGTTACAAGGACAAACAGAGTTAGGCCTCATAAATAATAGAAGGGACAAAACAGCACAAAGTACACGGAAGAGTTTGAAATGTGGGCGATAGTTACATGAAGAATAGAAAGTGCCTTTGCAAGCAACACTTTTGTATCATCTGAAGAGGTCAACTTTCCACTAAGGACCCTCCATCTTATGTCTGGAGTGGTGTTCTCATCTGGACAGCTTTCTTCATTAGGTTTTTGCTTCTTCCTTATAGAATTCAGAAAGTCGTTACTAAGCTTCTCTTCTCCGTGAACTATCCGATCCCCCAGTGAAGTGTTGATCTTGTTGCACCCAAGGGAACAGAACCATTTATCTTCAGGTAACTCCTGTTAAGACAAAGGATGTTTAATGAGCTATCACCCAAGAGAAAATAAAGAAAAAAAGAAAGAAAGAGCCAAAGATGTAGAGCACCTGGAGATCAGCAATGTTATGTTCTTTCAAACAGCCAACATGGAACTCCTTTTCACACTGAGGAATAACATAGAAACAGAAAATGGTGTAAACCTGAAGCAAAATTAAAGAGGCAGAGGTCCCAATACAGCAATGACCAAACAAGATACCTGATCACAGATAATCACAGTGCGAGAATTAAAGCCCAACCTGCAAAAACTATGGCCTCTGCAACAGCGAAGATATTAAGTAAATGTCAAGCTCAGAAGGAAATGGTTTCAATTAAGAGAGAAGCAGCCAATATATACGCATCTGCTATATACGCATCTTCTGAACCCAATACATTCAAGTTCCTTTAAAAAAGATTAAAAAACTACAAGCCAGATGTATTAGAAACATGAAATAATACATTAGCGAAATAAGACCTCATTACACTACCGCATTACAATTTTTATAAGGTTTGTTACAGGAAATTAGGTAATTCATTAATGTGACACTAATTAGGCAATCAAAAGATCCTTGATATAATAGAAAAAGCTCGATATTCACCTGCATAACACGCATACACTTGGGAGCTCACTCCCAAAGGAGCTAACAATTCGAATGCATCTTTTGGTTATCTCAGCAATTGCATCAACTCCATGAACTCTACCAGCTGCAATGGCGTTTTGATTGCTCTCCACGAACTTCTCTCTCTCAACCATATTCACACAATATTTACAGGACCACCTCTCACTCGGAAGGCTTGGCAGATAAGCACATACTAGATAAAACCAAAACAGAGATAAGCTCAATCAGGTAGATATTCCAAAAACTCTTTACAACAGCAATTAAAGAATTCTAACAAACAAAAAAAAAATGGAAAATTGCATAAAACCAAACCTGTATGAAATGATCTCGGACATGTATCACAGCACAAGAGTTCACCCCCATCCTTACAGATACTGCAAAGGTCATCATTTTCACGGATAGAAAACCTCTCGTCCATTGATAGTACTACTGATAGCTCATGAAGAGATACCCCATTGGTTGTATAAATGTGCTGAAACCTGATCATCGATAGAATATAAAGTTACTAAAGTTTGATTATATCAGAAAATGGAATTTTACTACCAAGCATACATATATGGAAATAGTCGCAAGGAACTTACGGCTTCCGACGACTTGCACAGCCAGCATGGGCCTCAAACGATGAAGGGCTAACCTGGTCCATAAAAAATATAAAGGCTGATTCTGATCCCTAAATTTAAATACCAGAAAGATACTATGACGTTAAACAACTTACCACTTTGTTGCAACAAGAACAATGTATCCCGAACCCCTTCTTGTAGCCGACAAGCAGTTTCTGCATAATGAACGAAGTGGTTGGAGTAGACGAAGTTACAAAAATGAGCTATTAAAAAAGCCATTTGTCATGCAGATCTAACCTTTCCAGCAAGAAAATAACCCACTTCGGTCCCATCTGGCAGTACATCATCCTCAAAAACAAGTTTGTGCAGCCGCACATCCCTTTCAAAATGACAACAGATAGATTGAGAACTAATATAAGTATGACGAACAGCAAGGAAAGACAAACAATCTAGCACTCAACCATAAATACATGGGATAAGTGCTAACACTTAAAACAACACTACTCACTTTCTGGTTAGTCTCCCTTGGCTGTTGCTTTTGATTGAGCTGGATTTTGACTCACTCGGACTAGTTCCTGAAACCACAACTGGCTCAGGTGACCTGTAGAACCCCAAGATAAATTTAGTATAGGCAATAAACTAAGGTCAACTAATATGATGATATAATCGATATGAAGAAACTTCTGTATCTTGGTACTAACAGAATTCTGTCTGCTTAGGCCACCATATATATGAAGAGATATGACACATTTCTAAATACTAGATTTTCATAAATCTGTTTCCACAATATAAATGACATATTGCTAGCTACTTCTAATACAACAGGAAGCCTAAACACAAAATGCAACAAACTACAAGAAAGCAGAACCATCACATAGTTGCCGCCATGCATATAACAGCAATACTCACTCTGTGGTCGGCTGTTCTTGCCTGTTACTTCGGCGAGGACTGGATATTGACCCACTAAGGATAGTTTGAGGAACGATACTTGGGTTCAACGATCTGTAGGAAATTGAGGGCAGATTTATAGTCAATTAAATAGATAAAAGGTCAACATAGTTAATGATGTACTAGATATACCCAAAAATAAAGTTGTGCATATTAGTAATTACAGATTTCTACATGAGCAACCGTATAATAGAGGAATACACAACTCATAAATTCATAATTAACATCAGATAATTAGAAAATCCTTTTCCGAAATAAATTCTGCTACTTTTTTCATTTTACCTTCCACCCAGTCTAAAGAACTAACTGAACAGGATAATAACTGTATTTTCATCATACTTTTATATGATTCAGCTGCAACGAAAACGTCATTTTGCGAGAAAATAAAGAAAGATGAGCTATACCCCTTAAGAGCACCATTTGCTTTAGAAGGACTGGTATGGATTTCTGGTTCCTTTCTCTCCAAACACGATTTACACAGAAATAATGACTTTGTTTCACAGGGCTCATCCATTGTACCTGCAATCAATTAGATGTAACCAGTCTGAATTCTTTAAGAAGAGAAAAAACACAAGTGAAAACAGTCTTTACAATGTTGAAACAAACCAATTAGCAACCTTGGCAACTGAAACACAGGCTAGATTGATTTAAAGCTGGTCCAACTACCACACGAAGTCTTTCTTCTAGAGCAGCAAAGGGAGTTTCCTTGCATGCATTCATGACATCACGAAGTGTGCATCCAGACTCCAGTAAGATATATTCAGGTGGGCGCTTGTTTGTGCTAGAAGCATGCTGCTCGTACACGGCGGGACTTACCACCTGCGGAAATGAAATTTAGAAAAGTTACATCAACATGCTAGCATTAGGCAGGACCAATTACAATACATTTAAGAACAGTAGATATCACTAACTTGAGCTCCTTTGCAGACAATACAAAAGCACAAAACGCCTGATCCTCTTATTACTCCTTTAAGCCCTCTAGCTCCTGCCTCTCTCATCTACGATGGTGACATACACATCAGCTATATAAACCTCTTTCTCTTTTACACGTATAGAATACAAAAAGAAAGTCATCATTTACCTTTGCACCTCGAAGATAGTACACGGTTAGTCCCTCAAGTATTCTAGACTCCAGAAGTTCTTTGAGCTTTGACGGGAAATTCCTCAAGAATTTCTTGGGCCTTCCACGCTTGTTGGGAGTTATAACCGAAGGGCTTTGAAAATCATCTATTTCGACATCATTAATATACCCATCAACCTTGCCAAACTCTGCTAATTTGGTATCATTCTGCGAATTAGGATTTTCTAAATCACTTTCTTGTTTGACTAATGACCTAGTAAACCTCCTCAAAGGCTTATCTACAGTATCATTCACTGCCTTCTCATCAACAACTCGAGTATGACCAAGGCATGGATCCACACTGTTTTGCTCATGAAGATCCTCTTCCCTCCCATACGCCACCAAAGTAGAAGCATCACATTTAGCTTCCCTTTCTTGATTTATATAATTTTCACCATCAGCCACTAAAGTAGAAGCATCAACACAGCCATCTTCTCTACATTTAGCTTCCCTTTCTTGATTTATATGATCTTCATTATCAACCACTAAAGTAGAAGCATCAACACGGGCATCTTCACTACATTTAGCTTCCCTTTCTTGACTAACATGATCTTCATCATCAGCCACTAAAGCAGAAGCATCAACACAGCCATTTTCACTACATTTAGCTTCCCTTTCTTGACTTCCATGATCTTCATTAGACTCGGATTTAACACCCTCAGACTTCAACATAGACCGTGTCAACCTCCTGCCTGGTTTTTCATAACCCAAACCACTTTCCAACTTAACAAGACAAGATCTAGAAGTCAGTTTTGCAAACTCGCTAAAACTCACAGGTAAAGCCAAAACTATTTCTCTCCCAACCACACTCAAACTTTCCTTTTCAGCCTCTCTAACTTCCGGTGTACCATTCATCACCACATTCTCGATCTTCTCTTCTTCACTCAAAGATTCAGCCTTTGCTTCATCAACATCAACAACGTCGCTCTTAACATCGTCTTCTTCAACAGAATCAGACATTACAACTTCCTCATCTTTCACAAGACGCATCTTCTTTATCCCACTCTTCAAACCAGAGCTTCTCCTCCGAACAAGACGACTCTGTTTCTTCTTAGCATCCGTCCTCGAGACGCTGCTCAGATTTCTGCTTCCCCTGGTGCGACCTAAAGACTCTCCTCCACAGATCTCGGACTGTGATTTCAACATGAATTGCAACTCCCTTTTACAACCTGTACGAACCTGTGAAAGGACCACAAACTCGCCAGTGACTGTACCTTTCGCCATTCGATTTTCAAAAGGGAAGAGATCAGAAAAAGCGAAACTTTTTGTTGTTTTTTTAGAATCCACCCTCACTTCTCTCTCGCGAGATCAATGTCGAAAATCTCCGTAAACCTAAAAAGGGCATCGATTTACTTATGGGTTCATAAGGAAAAAGATTGAGATTACAACAACGGATTTAGGGTTTTCCTAATCTAAGAAGAAAAACGAAATTAGGGTTCCGCAGATTCACCAGAAGGAAAGAGAGAGAGAGAGAGAGATTGAAAGGCTGTCTCGGTTTTCTTTCTGGCAATAAGAGGCGAAGCGAGACTTCTTGTCTTCTAATTTATGTTTTTTTTCCTTTTTCAAAACCTTTTCTAATTTTTTTTATCTTTTTTGATCAAAATTTTTTGTCTAATTTATTATGATTTTCAACCTCTGACGAATGGTTGGGTCAAAGAGGTAATGTTGATGTTTGGGTGCTTAGAAATCAGCAGAGTTTTTTTTTAGCTCTTTGGATACTTTGGAGGATGCAAAACTGAAAATTTATGTTTGGGTTATTGAAAGTATATTTAGTCTATATGTGTTTTGAATGTTGTTTTTGCATCGGAGACATCAGAACTAATTGGAACGATCACAAGATTGACCATCTTTATGTGATCAATTGTCGTAACTACTAAAAATGTTTTGTGTGGTGTGAAAGTAAAAAAGTGCTTTATTGTTCGAAGTGTGACTATGGGAGAGTGTATGTCACTTGTGACCTTGTGGGGATCCATTTTGGTTACGAGACCTATTTCTTTCGGAGAAAGTATAAACCAGCGACCTCTTTGTAGATTGGTTTTCTTGGTGGCTCGTTTTTTATGCTATGTTTTTACATCGTTTTTTTTTTCTGGGTTTTGGAACGAGATTATGCTGTGTTTTTTGGTTATGGTCGAGCTGTTTATGTGACGTGCCTTCTTTCATTAAAAAAAAAAATTCCCAATGTTTTAAAAAAAAAGAGACTATCGTATGTTTTGTTCTTGATATTCATCTACATTCTACAGTTTTAATTATTACTAGGTATCTGTCCGCGTCGCGCAGGTACAATCATTATATAAATTTTATTATAATTTGATTATTGAAATTCTTGTAACATAAACATCACATTTTTATTTTCAATAATTAAGACTAAAATATTGTATAAGAAAATTCAACACACAAGTTTTAAGTTGTATAAATACTTATACAAAGAAATAAATCATACAAATACTAAAATAAATCATGTAATAAGATCCAACACACAAGTTTTAAGTTATATAAATACTTATAAAAAGAAATTAGTAGAACACTACTCTATTAAGTATCGTTATAAGTTATATTTCCGTCTTGTGTCTAAAATATGCTCCACCTCTCCCGAATCCTGGAGGTTTAAGAGACATATACATACTATTGTTGTATATACAAAATTCTCCAATTATAATTTTCAGATTACTTACTTTCTCTTAAAAATCAGGACATCATCCGTAGTGGGATCAAGGAGAAGACGGGAAAAACCAATGCTTCATGTGAATAGATAGTTATTTCATCTACACGTATAAAATTATTATTAGGAAATATACATGCAAAATAAATATAAAACATATGTTGCACAAAATGAAAATAATAATGACATATGCTTGATTATCCATACCTTCTTTTTTATTTACACTCCAATCAGTTTAGACAGAAACCGCAAAATGACCAGTGAATCCTTTGGTTCTTTCTTTGATATCAGCGGCAAATTCCCCGTATGCGATGCATTTCAACTTCACATCCCTTTGATTTGAACAATTTAGGTTACAAACTTTGTTACCAAGACATAGTGATCGTGAGAGAAAATATAAACTTACTCAAGATCTGTGATGGTGAAAGTTATTTTCTGAATAATATCTCCATCAGGGTTATTCTCTGTTTCAATGTCGCTAATATTTTCCATCACACCAATGAGATCTACAAATCAATTATGAGAGAAATATATATCATAAACGAAATTAATTTTTTTTCTATATATATACAAATTTATAGATGAAATCACTGAAACGAATATTAGAAGTTAATCTTACCAACAGGATACAACTGAGAGTAAAGAATTCTGTATATCTCACTAAAATGGACAAATTTCGTGAAGGGATCCATTGTCAATGGTCGTAGACTTGAGACTTATGTCCCAGTAGTGAGAATGATCTGATAATTGTGTCTCGTTGTTCTTCCCTCATTCTTCCATTCAGATGGTATCAAGCCAAATTTAGACAATTCAAGCCATCGTCCTTCGGTCCCAACACGGTAAAAATATGGAAAGGCGAGGTTACCACATGAAGCATTAATTCTACAACCCTATATACAATGAAATTTGCAAAGAGATCAAACAAACAATAAATATAGACAAAACAATTATATATTCATATTAGATAATACTTACATTTTCGTCGACTAAAATAAAATTCAGCCCTGGTAAGCCTTGACGATCAGGTTCATTCCATCTTTTCAAAACTTTGACACGGATTTTCCAATCTCGTCTCCATGCATGTAACTCATCAAAAAAGTTATATGTAGTCATGGGGATAATGTTTTTATAAAGCCAAAGAAACAGTTGGGGAGAATGATTGTTTTGTTGTTTATTTTTAACGATGGATATGAGGAAATGAGGATATATATAACACTCAAATAACGGTTATGGAAAGTGTCGCGTGAATCAGTGCATTTTACGTAAATTTAAAACTAAAAATGCTCAATTTTTGAAAAGTTGCAACTTATAATGAATATTCTAGATAGATTATTGGTTAACACGGCTTATCTGTTAAAGGAAGAGTCGATTTTTGTTACAACACGAAATTTTTTGGCCCATAAGATGTAAAAAATATTGGGCTCAGATGATATATAATTTAAGTGTAACATAATAAACCGTTTACATAAAACAGGTTTAGAATCAAATCAGTTATATATGTTACTGACATGCTTTTTAATCATCCAACACGCGCTATTTTTTGACTGAACATTATTAAAAATATTTAATATCGTTTATAATCCAATTTATTAGAACAATGTTATTTTTATTCAATGACAATCCTTCATAAATAATCAACTCACGATAGCACATAATCATACCCCAGTAGTAAATTTCCCAGAACAATATATATTATATCTATAAGGAGTAATTTAAACCCAAATTAGAATAAATTATTATTTATTAATAGTCTCAAAACAAACTTGTAAATACAAAAAATGTGTCTAACAAAACTAATAATATATATGGATTATCAATTTTGAATCCTTTTAATCGGCCCAATCCATTAGACATCATCTGTATCCAGCCCATATAATCTCTCTCTAATCGTGAAATTTCAATAACAAAATCATGTAGATCTAAATTTATGAAAATATTTTTTTTTATAAGTCAATTTAAACAACACATAGAAACATACTTACCTATTGCACAAGGTTAAAACTTCAGTAATAGGTGAATCAGTGATAAAACGAGACACACCATCATCATCATGATCCGGGAAACCGGCTAATCCCGACCTCAACTGACACACATGGTACCATTTCATACCTGAACTTTCATACTGTGCCGAAACATACCTCAACTGTTAAAAAATGGCCATTTCGTACCCAAACCCATATTTTTTTGGCGAAAAACTACATTGACCCGGATGCTGTTAGTCAAACCCGTTACTCCGTTAACGAAGATGACTATATTTGCCACGGTGGATTCTGCGTCAGCTACAGTTGTTAAACGTTGTCGTTTTGAATAATACTGAGAAAAAAAATTTCCACCCTCTAGGAATTGAATCCTGAACCCATTGCTAATAAACCGAGTGCGGAAATCAGTAGACCAAAGGTATTTATCGATAATCTTCTGCATACTTAAACAATATAAACAATTGTAATGCCCAAAGGTTTAATTAAAAAAAAACTGACGACGTCGTTTTGTCGACATTTGTGATTTAAAAAAAAAAGACATCAGTCTTCTTCTTCTTCGTGAGATTCGTGAGTTCAGACTTTAGACAGAAAATTGGGGAAAAACTAGGGTTTTGGTGGTTGAAGAAATCACAAGATAATGGCTACTTCATCAAATCAAAAGACTTCCTCAGCGAATTCCTTCAGTTTTTTTTAGGGAAATTGAGTACAATTTATTAGGGGAAATTGAGTACAATTTATTAGGGGAAATTGAGTACACAAATCTCAGATTTTCATTCAGTTTCTTTGAAATCAATCAATTTTTCTCTACATTCACCACACTATTGGCAAATCGTGTAACCCCTTTTCTCAATATCTTTCACAAAGTCGCAAATGTTTTTCTGGGTTTGTTTAATCACGAACAGAAGAAGACAGAATGTCGACAAAAAAACGTCATCAGTTTTTTTAATTAAACCATTGGGCATTACAATTGTTTATATATTTAAGCATGCAGTAGATTATCGATAAATTCCTTTGGTCTACTGGTTTCAGCACTTGGTTTATTATCAATGGGTTCAGGGTTCAATTCCTAAGAGTGGAAATTTTTTTTTTTCAGTATTATTCAAAACGACGACGTTTAATAACTGTAACTGACGCAGAATCCTTCGTGGCAAATGAGTCATCTCCGTTAACGGGATAACGGGTTTGACTAACGGCTTCCGAGTCAATGTAGTTTTTCGCCAAAAAGACATGAGTTTGGGTACAAAATGATCATTTTTTAACAGTTGAGGTATGTTTCAGCACAGTGTGGAAGTTCGGGTATGAAATGGTACCATATGTGTCAGTTGAGGTAGGGATTAGCCGCTTTCCCCATCATGATCCTTGATAGACACATTCTCTAAAACATATATATTGGAATATTGTTATGTTATATACAATGATTTTATAAATAACATATTGATGTATCATGAGAAAACATACCCCCGTCAATTGCTACACACCAATCGGTTAACACACATATAGCAAAGGGACCTTCATATTCTCTACATTTATCTCTTATTTCAGTTGCCAACTCACCGTGTGCAACACACTCTAGCATAAACTCCCTATATTTTGACAAAGAATGTAGTTAATAATTAGTTAGTTAAACTTTAAACATATAGTTTGAGATATACTTACTCGTCATCTATTATCTTAAATTAAATTGATGATGAAGTCGTTCCATCCGGGTATGTAATAGTAACATATCTAGCATCTTTGACGACTCTAATCAAATCTGCGATTGTAATTAGTCAAAATAAAGACATGATAATTTTGCATTATGCAAAGATACCAAAATATTATGACCAATTAGATAATAATGAGCATCTGAGAATTCATAAATCGAGAGGAATGATACAAAATTT